CGCTGCCTTTAATCACAAGCCAGGGACCTGTACGTAGCCAACTCCACAGACGTGCAGGCCAGCAAGAGACAGTTTGGAGAACAGCCCAGGGTAGAGGCTTCCCTTCTCCCTTTCCAGTCTTGTCTGCCTGGACTCTAAACCAAGAGAACCAGCGCAAATCACCTTTCAACCCAATGCAGGGCTGACAAACAAGAGCTTTAAATGTTCCCCCTCGAGCCAACCACCCCCTGGTTATAAATCCCGGGAGGGACGAGCTCTTGGAAGCAGGCTCACTCGGTCAGGAGCTGCAAAGCACGAGGGACCAGCGGGGGTATGGTTTTGGCTTCAGCTCCGAGGGCATAAAGATAGATTTCACTTGGCTACATTGCAGAACGCAATTAAGGACCGTGCTGCCTTCCCCTGCTAGCAGAGGAGAGAAGTTTCTTAATGGAGCCAAATGCTTTGACAAAGTAATTTGCACAGTGAAGATCTTTGGGCTTCTTGTTAGAGAACCAGAAAAGCAACAGCAAGTGTACAGAGAGGTATGGCAGCAAAAGTCATCCTTCTTTAAAAAAAAAAAAGCTTGGTATTATAGGAAATTGTAATAATGAGGAAACTGAAATAATTGAAAATAAAGAGAGAGGACTGCTAGGCCAAGGACTTGCAGTGGCAAAGCTCCAGCTTACGTTACATGCAAGCTGTATCCAAGTGATGCACACACAAAATCAATGAGGACTGGGCTTTGGGCAAGGTTTTCTATCAGGATTCCCCAAAAGCTATTGCTAGAGAGCATCATTGATGCCTTTATGCTGCAAGTACGTAATGCAGGCATGGATTGTCCTCACCAGAGCCCAGCACATGCAGAGGACAGAGCAACGCAGCCAGAAGTGCCCCCGTTGTACACGTGCCGAGCTGCCTGGTCCTGATCCACCCTGACCCCTCTGTCTCAGCAAACTGCGCCCTGGGGTGCGAGCCGCTCACATTCCAGCATCCCTGGAACCAAAGGGCAGAGGTTACCGGGCTGCTGGATGCCCCTGACACCGGCTGAGCCCACGTTTTCTCCAGATGCCGTCTCACTTTTTCTTGTACGTCCACTTACTGTTATAGGGTGCTTCCCTGGAGGCACAGGGAACACCAGGACTGCAGGCGTAGGACGCAGGGATGGAGCACAGAAAGGCAGACGGGAACCTGGGGAGGTGATGATGGCCCCAGGAGGCTGGGATGCCCTTATCCTGGGAACACAGGGTGCAAAGAAACTCATGAGAGACACGAGGAGTCTTCGCATGAATCTTACTGGAACCAAGACTTCACCTTAGGGCTGAATAAATGCTCCTGTGGCTTTCTCTTCCCAAACTCCAGCCTTTCTTGAAGCAGATGGGCTGAGACACTCTCCTTACACGACGGAAAATGACAACGTGACCTGGCAGCCGCTGGGAGCTCCCCCAGCCTCGCCTCCCACGAACGCCCACGTGTCACTGCTACACGAACAGGCTGCCAACGTGGGAGACTCTGGGGCAGTATTCCAGCAAGACAGGAGAAACAAACACCAAAACAAGAGAGCAGCAGCGTTTTAACAGCTTGTGTGGAAGAACAAATATTGACTGGTTGACTGGGAAATGTCGGTGCATTCTCCCTGTTGCTGGAGGCGGATCTGGCACAGAGGAGGTGCCCTCACAAGCCAGCAGGCACAGCGGGCTGACTAAATGCTGCAAGGCCTTTTGTAATGCACATTTTTGGAAGGTGCTGCTGGAGGTCTGAGCTGCTCAAGGGCTCTGCTCATGACCAAAAGCATCCCAAAGACTGTCTGCAACTTCTAAAGGGTAAGCTGAAACATTCAGGCAATTCATCAGGGTTAAGAGGGCTGGGTTCCCTGCACACCTCGCTGCCCCAGCCAGCAAGGGTGGCTGCAGGATTTGAGCAGATGGCCAGAAGCTGCAAGTGCCCCAGCTGAGCTGCAAACTGAACCCAGCTCCTCCAGCAAGATGCTGGCCACTGGTCTGCCTTCTTCTGCAAGGAGTTCCTTCCTTCAGGAGGTTCAACCACTCCGTTTTTGCCTGCACCAGCTTCCCACGGCGGTAGTTACTGCCAGAGCACCACCACCATCTCAGCCAGCTGATGGAGAACTGCCCAAAGCTATTTGGGGTGTGAAGACCAAGCACAAACACACATCAGCGATTTTCATCAGCCCTCTGCTAGGTACAAAGCCCACAGAAACGCATCTGTGAGCCCACCAGCAAGCTACACTGAAATGCACAGCCTTTTACTGGTGTAACTGGAGTGCCCTACGGGGTGACTGTCAGAGAAACAGAGTAAAAAGGTGGCTTTTTGGGGTTGTAACACAGCTCCAGTGCCATCCCACTCTCACAGACATCAGAGCTGCTCTGACACTGAAAGCTCAGACACACACATGCTGCTATTCCCGTAAATCATACATGCAGCAGGCATGTCAGACCACAGCTGACATTTAAGAGGCAGCCCTATTAACGCTCAGCCCACTGGCACACACCTTGTCTTCTTTTCTTTGCCTGTGTTCAGAAGAAAATACCTCCCTGCCCAAGTACTATGAAATATAGGCTGTGGCCAAAATCCCAGGGAGTTTCCATGATGTCAAAAAAAAAAAAAAAAAGAAAAGAAAAAAAGAAGTAAATAAATGAAAAGCCCTCCAGCTAGCAGCTCTGCCTTGCTCTCCCCGTTCTCACACAATGTAGAAATCCGATTGCCCACATCCCTGCCTACAGCACCCCAAGAAATGGCCCCAAAAGTGGATGAGGACTGTACTTCTTCCTGCCCAGGGGCTCCCACCTCCAGGCCTGCTCTTGCTGGGAAAGACCAGGACAGCCTTGGATCCTGCAGCAGCCCTGTAAAAGGCTAAATGTTTGTTTTGGACCACCAGAAAGAATGAGTTCGTCAGCAAATTCTACAAGATAGAGGACAGGGAGCCTAACTGAAAGGAAGCAATTAATCATTCATTTTCCTTACCGACACGGATTGCCTGTCAATGTGCGTAAACTCTCCAGGGAAACTGTGATCCAGAAATAATCCCAATTAGGCAGGACAGTTTCCTGGGTTGCTGTAGGAATAGAGAGCCTCGCTTTGCCAGAAGGCCCTGGGTCTGCTTCGCATCTCTTGTGCAAGGAAGTAAAGGGATGATCGGCAGTCCCTGAGCAGGAAAGCTCTCGACACGGTGTGGCAGCATCAAGAATTTCCTCACTCCCTGCCCATTCACAGCACCTCCATCTCCCACACTCACACACGTGCTCCAAACTTCTCCACCGATGGCAGATTTCAGTCCTGAAGCACTGACCCGAGGGAGACGAGCCCAAGAATGCAGAGGGAAGGAGCCAGCTCCAGCCACGAGCCCTCCTGCACCCCTAGCAACGTGACCTGAGCATCCCACCAGCAAACCCAGCCCTGCCGCACAGCCCTGAAACCCAGCTTGGATCCCACTTTGGGGTACGAGCTCCCCTCAGCACAGACAGAGCCTGGGAGGCTGGAACAGGGAGGAGGACGAGCTCAGGTAGGAAGGAGCAACAACAGCAGGGGCAGGCAGACTCCGGAGAAGCCAAGCTCTCCTTTTTCTTGCCAGCTTCCCTAGCAAAGAGCCGGTGAGAAAATAATGGGTATTTATAAGCAAACCTGTCTCTAAGGCAGCATTTTCCAAAGTCTAATAATAGGGTTTGAACTTGCTTATCGTGTGATTCAGACGGCGTTGCATAAAGCTGCTGGAAAGCTCCTGAATGTCCCCTGAGCATGTTCCTGGGAAGCAGGGGCAGGGTGGGCTGTGGAAAACAAGCTCCAAAGTCTCCTCCCAGGGAAAGCCAACCACACAGCCTGTCCTGAAGCAAGGTGAGAAGCTGAGGACACTGATGGCTGTCCCTGATGCTTCCACCTTTGGTTTCTCGCACGCAGCAGCACCGAGCAGAGCCCAGGTTGCAGTGCAACAAAACAAACGCACAACCTACAGGTCGATACCTCCTGTGGGATGTGAGCTAGGCTCGAATACCAAGCCGGTCCTTACTTCTGAACTTAGTCCAGGGAAAAAGGAAAGAGCTTTTACCAGCTGGGCCTCAGCAAAGAAGCACCAGGTTCACTAGAGACAAGGCAAGAAAGTAAGGGGCAAGAAGGGCAATTAGCATTTGAAGCTGATTGTCACTGTTGCAGGTGCCAAATTTTGTTCCTGTCCCTTCAATATCCCTCAGAGGGGACACAGCCTGCTCTGGAACCAAATATCCTCACCCTGCCTTACAGAAACGTCCTGTGTGCTGGCAGTGCCATGCAGCCTTCGCCCCTACTTCTTCGCCCAGACACAGCCCCACAGCTCTGGCAGCACAGTATTTCACATCATCTTCCTATGGAAAGAAGACAGAAAGCTTTGAACAAGAAAAAAGCCCCCAGCCAAGGAAAGTTTAAGCATCACCTCTGTGGAGATGCGTTGTCCTTTTGGATTTCCTTTCAAAAAAACAGTAAATTTGCTTTGAACCAGCTCAGCATCATGTTGAAGTGCAGGAGTGCCCTCTTCTGATGTGGCAGGGCCCTAGCTGGATGTCAGCAGCTTCTGTGGCTGCCTGCCCTTGGAGCAGTTTGCAGCTGAACCCCCAGAACAGGCAGAAAAAGCAGGAGCAAAGCTGAAACAGACCTCAAATCCTGCTGCAGGAGACAGGCAGGGGAAAAAAATAGTTGTGTGGTGAATCGTGACTTCCCTTGGCCTGTTTCTGAGCGTCAGTCTGCCTCACTGCTGCCTTCCTCGGGGACTCCCCAGCCAGTGTCAGTGTCAGACACCAGAAGCAGTGCAGAAATCCACCTCGATTTTACTTTGCCACCACAAAAAGCCCTTTGTCCCAGCACGGAAAAAGACAAAGGTGGGAAAAATCAAACCACGACTGCCTGCACAACGCAGATGTGCCACCCAGCAGGTCCGGCCGCAGCTCTCCTCCCTGCCCAAGGCAGCTGGAGGCAGGGAATACAGCCGTGGCAGGCCAGCAGCGTGTGGTTTGACCCTTTACCCACGAGGTCGCAAGCCACAAGATTTCATTCTTTTAATAGAGATCATAAATTAGCTGTCCCAAACCTGCCTCCTCGCAGTGAGATCATAAATTTGCTTTAATGGGGGTCAAAAACAAAGAAAAAATTGAAGTCTCTCCCCACAAGCTTGCTAACAAAACACCTTTAAATTGTATTTTTTTAAATTGTATGTATCTTTCTAAGCTGTCTGGAAAGTCTTCTCATTCTGGAAGAAAAAGACTTTTAAAATCAAGGTTTCTATTTTATTTCAAAACACAGGGCCCAAGTGTTCAGTTCTCGCTGTTTTTCCTTAGTCTCCTCTTATCTTTGATCTTCTTGTAGGTCTCTGCCTTAATGTCATCTATTTCTGCATTGACTCTTCCCTTTACCACTCCTCTGCCACATGCTCACAATAAGTAAAGATAAGGAAATATTTAAAAAATATTATGGCTTCCAGAAGTTAAGCTACAAGAAAATGAGAGCCATGGTCCTACTGTATGCTGCAGATGCAATTTCTAAAGAAGAAAAATTTCCTAGTCCTTAAGACAATGACTGAGTGTAAAAGGAACAGAGCTTCAAAGATTTTGTAAGCCAAGGGTCGTTTATAATCACATAATGTTCATTATAACTCAGGCCAGAAAACCTTCCCCAGTGCTGTTGCAGCCAGGAGGTGCCATCTTCCTAAAGTTAAAGGAATTCCCAGGAAGGCTTAAAATTTAATCAGGATGTAGTAAACACCTCTTTTTCCCAGGAAGTTTGTTCCTGTGGCTAATTATTTCAGTTCTTCCAAATGCAGCCCTTACTTCTAATCTGAGTTTAGTTTCAGCTTCTAGCTATATTAAAACTGCGTTATCATTTTCTCTAGTAGATCGAAGGGCTGTCTGCGATCACAAACCTTTTCCTACCAAATCCTGTTACACCACGCTGAAATCACTTCTAAGCTTCTCTTTTGCAGATTAAATGAACCGAGCTTCTGCAGCTCCAAGGCATACTAGTGAGATGGACAAATGTTGCTAACAGCACTTTTCTGCTTGTGTTGTGCAGGCCAGGACTGCTGGCTTGCCAATGGTTATTGCACCACCTCGTGGGAAAAGAGAGAAAACACAGAGCAGGGAAAAGGATGCCCAGCTCAAATGCTCATCAAGTGTAATTGTGAGGCTAAATAAGGGTTTTGTAATAAACTGAATCTATGGGAAAAACAGTAAAAGACCATGTATAAGGCTGGGACAGAATGTGAGGCAAACGTAGAGGGAGAAGGAATAGCTTTGAGGCCATTCAGTGAGATCACAAGCAGATGCTGTATGGCCAACCTGGAGGGCTAAGAACAAAGTCTTCGCAGTTATTTAATCTTTAAATAAAAAAGATTTCTGCCACTGAAACTTCACGAAGACACAGCTGGCATAAAAAGGTCTCTCAAAGTGTTGGCTGCTGAGCCATGGCTATCTGATCACTGATGCCATTGTTTGGAAGAGACCATGGCACACTCCAGTACAATCTACAGAAATGGAGGTCTGGCCAGAAGTTGTTAGCAGGCAGCTCCATGTTCCAGCAGATGTTAAGAGCAGAACATTAGGCGACCTGAGGAGCTCTCAAGGGCAGCAGTAGCAGGCAAGAGTAACTCTATAGAGAGCAGGAATACTTGGAAAACATTACACTAGAAGCTATGAGATTGTGACAGTCCAGTCCTTGTCCCCAGGAAGCTAGGCTTACTGTGCTGCTGCCCAGCACTCACTCACCCTGTGTTTGAAGGGCGCTGGGCTGGTGGCTCCGCTGGCACAGTGATAACCCGAGTAGCAAAATCCAGAAGGCTGGGACAGACCTGGTGCTGAGCAATACATGCCTAAAACAAACAGAAAAGCAATCTCCATGAGATGGCTTGCACAGAAGACTGGTGGAGGAGTCAGTAACATGAAGGGAGAAGACACAATTTCCTGAACTATTCCATGTATTCCATATATTCCCCTGAGTTTCTCTTGCCATGTCCCTGCTTACCTGCTGGGCAGGGCTCGCAGACAGAGCTGCCAGTGGCACCAGCCCTGGGGCCAAAGGTTCCCTTCGGACACGGATGCTGTGCACTGAAGTTGGTATCTGGCAGACAGAAGTACCCAGCAGGGCACAGCTCAGGAGTATGTGCTCCAGAACCTACGACACAAAGGAGAGCATCTTGCTCAGGAAATATTACAAGACATGACAGGCAATGTCGTTCTCTATCAACATGTTCAGTCTTCCTCCTCCTATCTTAGTACAGCCAGACCCAGGACATGGGATTCATCATGTGTATTCTGATGCAGTTGTTCAGATTCCTGTTGCAGTAATTGGAGAGAAACAGCACTTACAGAGGAACTGCGCTTCAAGTGCGATTCATCTCACCCTAAGGCAGACATCTAAAATAAGAAGGATGAATTGCACCCCAGATGTGCCTCTTTCTTTCCACTGACTACAGAGGGAGGACAAAAATCTACCTCAGATTCAGATGTCTACAAAGGAGCAGTCTTAAGTTTTATTGGAGTAATCCCATCTAGGGGGTAGAACCATGCCCGTGCAGTTATATTTCTTGTGTTTCTTGTTGCATGCTTGAGCTGCCAGACAGGAATAGCTTCATTGTATTTTCCTGGGCACTGAATTTCTCTCCCCACAGAGAAGGATTTGGCTTCAGCTTACTCTTTCAACGACAGCCTCAGAGTCTTAGAAATCTGTTTTGGCTTCCGTCCTTGGCAGAATCTGATGCATCTGCCTGCCCAGTCCAATCCACCTAACACTTAGCAGAACCTTAACAGAAGTAAAGGAAGCTACAGCACTCAAAATCCGTTTTGTCCCATTAAGTCTCACAGGGAGACTCAGCCCTTAGTGCCATGGGATCCCTTTTTATCGCAACACACAGCCCCCTCACATTTGTTAGGCTGTTCACAGAAGAGTCCAGCTGGGCAGAGTTTGTGCAAGTCCTTCTTCTCTCCTGTAACTGATTGATCCTGTGGCCACATGGTACAGGAAAGGCAGATGTTGTGGGGCAATAAAAGTCTCATGGGCAGCAACGGGGAATTGAATTAGTAGCCAGGTGGACAGTAGTAGCCCACAGAATATGGTCATTTGGAAGTGATTTTTCCTAGTCCTACAACCAGAAAAGCAAAGTCTTTAACCATCCTTTACTGATCGAAGACAACAGGAAACCTTCATCTCTTGAGAGAACAAGCTCCTTCAGCATACACCCTTAACAGGCATCAGAAAGCAAGAATTCTGTGAAGTTCAGCCTCAGACAAAGAACATCTTAGCAGACAGGAAAGTAAATTCTGATTTATATGCCTGCAGGAAATTATATGCCTGCAGGAAACATGGGCTTCCAGTTAAAATGCTCAATCTTAATTTTGGAAATCTCAGTTGTGGTTCCAGCTCTGCTATAAACTTGTATAAGCTCGGTCAAGCCATTTCCTCTCTATTGCTTCTGCTTCCCACCTGAAAAAGGAAAAGCCTCTTTGTCTCATGGAAGGGGCAGGTGAACTTAAACTACCAGAGTGACCTCAAATAAACATATTGCACAGACAGATTGGGAGAACCTCTGAGAAGGAGCAGCTGTCTCAGAGCAGAGCCTCTGGCTGCTAGCCAGTACCAAGGACCTGCCTGCCTGGTTATCTTCTTTCCCTGAGGGGATGACTATATATAAAACATCTAGAAAGGGTGTCTGAGCCAAGGAACAAAGAAGGTGTAAAATACCACAAAGTGGTCTGGGTGACCTGAGACTGCTATGGAGAACCCAACAGAAACGTTGGAAGAGAAATGGTTTAGGGCATTTATACCTGGTGCAGAAACCTTCATTAACCTAAGAAAATATTGTAAGCGATAAACTTGTAGTGGGTACTTAACTCATCTCACTACGTTGTGTAACCCCAGGTCTTAAATACACCAGCAGACACTCACCACTACAGAAATACCCAGCAGGGCAGAGCTGGCAGTCTCTTGACTGCCATTTTCCACTGTCAGAGTTGAAGTGCCCAGGGCTGAAAGGGACTGGGGATTCAGTAGGAGCCAGGGGGCACTGCTTATGATCCGGCTGTGTAGATCCAGCATCACAGAAATAGCCAGCATAACACAATCCTGCAAGAAAGCAAAGATTCAGCATTAGGGTTAAGCATAATATTAAAACCAAAATGGTGTTAGGTACACGTGATACACACCAGAAACACTGGTCAGGCCCTCTCCTTGTCAGAACTTCCCCCCAGGGCAGGGCAGGCAGGCGTAAGGGTAAACCATTCCAGACAGAGGCAGAAATGTGCCAGTGGGACAGGGCTCTGGCTTGCTGCTGCTCGGTGGAAGTGGCTATGGAGAGAAGTACAGGTTCTTCATGCATCAGCTTTCCAGCTACACTAGCCCCAGCCACCTCTCATGTAAGATGCCAAAAAGATGCTGGCTAGGAAGGAAATCTAATCATCCTGCACTCCCATAAGAGACAAGGCAACGGTGTACAGCTGTAGGTAGATGGCAGTGTTCCTATGAGAAAAGGCTGTGAGAGGTTGGTCATGGGTGCTGGCTGAGGTCAACTCCCATTTATTTCTGGTCCAGACACAGCAGAACAGTCACTTGCTTAATATAACTATAGATTTAACCAAGGAAAAAAACAAACATCTAAGTCTTTCTCATTCAATTTAATTGGCAGTCTCATTAAAGGTGATGTTGGAGGACAGCTCTCACCGTGCAGGGAGAGCAGCAGAGACTTACATGTGCTCAGCTCACCGTGGCTCTGTGACCTTTCCTTCAGGATGGCTCAGGAATGAGCTTCCCCCCCACCGCTGCACAGCAGCAAGTAAGGCCACAGACTGAGGCTGTTGTGTAATTACTGTCTGAATGCACATTTAGGGCTGATGCTTCCAATACAACAGCACCGGATTAGAGGCTAAGCTCTCGTGCTGACAGCAGCTGCCCCTTGGGCAACATAAAGGCATGCTTCAGTGCAAAATAACAAGGGGCTGCAAAACAATGGTACAGCCTCAGATGAGCTCAGCAGCTCACCCAGCACCGGGAAGAGAAATGCTGGTATGCAGCAGCTGCTGGCAAACCTACCTGGGGGACACGGAGATGGAGAGGAGCTTCCTGCAGGACAGAAGTGACCTTGAGGACAGATGTTCCCCACTGCACCACCCATAGGGTTTGGGAGCATGGAGCCCCCTGTGCAGTAGAAGCCAGCCTCACAGGGACCTGTGAAAAACGCAATTTATCACAACTGGGAGACACCTTCATCACATCAGCACCATAAAATGAAGCTGATCGGTGCTGAGGATTAGCAATAGTTTTAACTGCAACCAGTTTTTTAATAACATCTCAAAGTATGTTATAAATGTCTACTGTCAAAACTCTCTCTGCTATGTTATACTTATGTTTTACTTTTTTTTTTTTTTTTTTTTTAACATTCAGACAGAGGAACTGAATCATGAAGAAGTTGTAATTTTTGGCCAAGGTCATTGATTTGTCCATTGGAAGAGACTCGTGATCCATGCAACACGGTCCAATGACAAATCCGCTATTAGAGCATCTGTTAATCCTTTAAATGAAATTTCTCTGAATGAGTGGGTAGGTGCAATCAGACTCACCTGCAGGGCAATCTGTGTAGTTTGTGGAAGCAGTCTTACAGTAAAAACCTTCTGGGAACTCCAAACATTGTGCCATACTCCAGGATGGGTTTAACTTCCTGCAGGGCAAGGCTGGGCTCTGCTGCTCCCCACCATGCAGTAATGTCCAGGTGGACACGGTTCTCCCCTGATTGTTATCTTTGAAGAAAAAATGCCATTGTCACAAAAAATCTTTTCATACCATTTACAAACTCAGAGGACAGCTTTGCAAAATAACTATGTTGGATTCAAATAGTGTGAAGGTCTGCATTCATCGCTTAGTCTTTATGGCTTCACACTTATCCTTTTCCAAGACAAGGGATCAGAATTTTGCACACAACAAATCTCATTGGGCTGTCCATTTAGAAACTGGCACCACTTTTTCCTTTCACGAGCACAGCTTACCCTGGGAGGTTTAGGAGAAATGGCTCCTCCACTACAGTAGAATCCAGCTTCGCATAATCCAGTTAGAGATAAAAGTCTCTAACTATGGGCCTACCTGATGGGATTCACCTCGATTCCCAACTTAAAAGTGGGGCAAAAATCTCATGCTAAAATCGTATTTGCATTGAACAATGCAGTGCTGCATACGAATACTGTCTCAAAGGCTGCAGATAGTATAATCAATTTATAAGACCGTTTGCCCAAGGTAATTTAAGCTAATTCTTAGCAGGACATGACGTTGTGGTCATATTGCTTCTGGTTTTCATCTCACTTGAGTACATCTGCACAGTGTAAAACTTTGCCTTCTAAGTTTCTTTTCTACGGATCACCTTATTTAAGTTTATAAAGCATTACATAAGGTACCTGTGGAAACATGGAGATGACAATCTCCCAGACAAGTACTTTTTTCCCTCATTTTTCCATATAACATCTCTTTAAGGTACATTTTAGATTCAAGGAGTAACTCATTTTCTGCTTGTTCTCTGAAGTGCTTGACTCCAGTCATACCAAGGAAAAAAGCAAGACAATTGCCAAGTGTTTCCAACTCCAGTTCAGTATATGCCTTTAGAACCCCTAAGGATCAACAGGCAGCTGAATATTTCTCTGTCTTCATTTCCACATAACACACTGGGTGTGAGACACTGTAGCCTGTCATTCATCCACTGAACCATGAAAATGCTACCAGTGAAGCTCAAGAACATACAAAATAAATTTTTGTAAGTTGTCCTATCCTGAGATACGTTTACATGCCGTTTACCTGGGTCACAGGGGGTACAGTGAGACAGAAGGCTGCTTCCATTTTGTGGGTTGTAAGTTCCCTGGGGACATGGAAACTGAGTGGCAGCAGCAGTACCGGTAGGGCAGTAGTGGCCAGCTGAACACTCATTCTCCAAAAATGAAGAGGAATTTTTGGGGCAGAAGAACCTAGTCCAAAGAAGCAAAAAAAAAAAAAGGAGGTCTGATTAAAAAAAGGAGGGAGAGGGAGGAATTTCTAACACTATTCTATCCACAAACACCTGAATAATGAGTTAATGGCAGCAGAAGCTAGCCTAATATGGCTGCTGCACTGCGCTGTACTGACCACAAAAGAATCCTACTTAGGTATATTGCCACATTCTTAGTTGTTTCCTCGTATGCCAAATTGATGGCATAATTGCAAAAGCCACAGAGACGTAATTTTCTTAACTTGAGTCATAACACATCTAGGCTGCGAATCATCAACTTGTAAAAGTTAATCAAGGTCAAATCCAGTTAGTAATTGGAGATGAAATCCCCTAAGGGAACGCCAGCATCAGGTGATACACAAGACCTTCTTCCCCTGTATCACAGCTATGCCAGCCTGTTGCCAAGGGAACCATTTATTACTTCAGACATGAAAGAGGTTTATGGTGCCAATAGTTCCCTTGCTTTAAATAGACTTCTGATCTAAATCCTCTTCCACAGTAGTTGTACCTGGGTTTAGGACTTTGCCTGGTGCCACAATCAATTTTCTAGTGTTGTTAACAGCATTCAATAGTTGTCCTGCTTCCTGTCAGGTCTAAGTGCTTTCCAGTGGTAAGGTCAGTCATTTTTCCACTGCAGTGCTCCAAGGTGGTGTGATAAACCATTATTTGCCATACTCCTTTACTCATATATGCAACACTCAGGTCACGGTCTCACTCTTACCCTTCAGGACAGGGGAGGAAGCTGGATTGCCTTTGTGAGGGGTTATATGACCCTGCTGGACAAGCCACTGGAAGAGCTGTGCCCTTGGGACAGAAGTGCCCTGGAAAAGAAAGAGCAGGTCAGCATTAGCAGTCTTCAGAAAATCTACAGCAAACCAGGCGTGTAAGGGGAATCCTAACTCACCCTGGGGACATGGCTCTGGGTCCCCTGGGCCCATCTCACCCCTGGGGCAGTAGAAGCCAGCTGGGCATGGATTTGCACTGTAGCTGGTAGTATTTTCTGGGCAGTAGTAGCCTGCAGCACAAGGAAAGCACACAGCTTGTCTGGTGAGGTTGTTGTAAGTCCCTGCAAGGCACGCTAAGGGTAGCTGGTTCCTTCGGGACAGAAGTGGCTCACAGGACAAGGGCCTCCTTTCTCCCACACACCTAGGACACAAAAAGCAGAAGACAAAGCCAACAAAGGCAGCTTATGAGGGAGGGTCAGTGCCAACAAAGGGAGTGAACTGATGAGGATCTCTTAATTATGTTTTCTGGGATCCCAGAAGACAGGTGATGAGGAGGCACAACACAGTATCTAAAATGACTATTGTCTCAGCTTTGAAGTTATTCAACACTGTGTCACCATGTCTTTTTCTTCCTAGCTTCACAGGCAAAGCCACACTGAACGTGTTTTTCTCCTATCAGCTTTCTCAATACTCTGCTTCATATGTAACAAGAATTTTGGAGAATATTTAAATGTCCACAGGAATTGGACCTGGAATTCTTCCCTGGAAGTTATTCTTTCTGGTACACAATAAAATGATAAGGGGGAATCGGGCTACTTCCATTACAGGCTGGTACTCACAACTTTCCAGCGTTCAGTGCAAGCATCTCATTCAGTAACACAGATGGGGGACTGCCTGCTTTTTCATCCTTGTTATGTATGCAGACGTACGAATACCCCAAACAAAATTAATACAGGGTTTAATTATATTAAAATTTAAACGACTGAGAAGAGGCAGGGACAGGAGGACTGGGGGAAGAACTGCCATTTTTCAAAGCTCTCTGTTGTCAAGACCCTTAATTATCGGACACAACTAAGTGGAGACACTGACATTCACCCAGGGCAACTCACCAGGTGGTGATGGTGAGGAAGCTCCAGAGAGGCAGTAGTACCCAGCTGAGCAGGGTCCTGAGGGTGCCGTGAGGCCAGCAGAGCGGCAGTAATAGCCAGATGGGCACGCTGTGCAGCTGGACTCCTGCCCGATGGACAGCCTGTAGAGAGACAGAAGCAAGCTTTCTGTTGGCAAGTGTGCAAGTTCAGCAGGAGGTCCCTGATGCCTACACCCCTGGCCAAGGGAAAACAACCATGAGGCTTTTATAATAAATCCAGAGATGTGTCTAATGAGCCTTACTGGGCTGCAGGTTAAGGACATTGTAGGGAAGCAAAGGAGGTAGTAGACAGCAGTAGAAGAAAATGATAAAAAGGAAAGGAAAATACAGATTTGCACCATCAGAACCAAGAAGCTCACCTGTCTGAGTAAGTGCCCACAGGGCACTGCTGAGGGATAGCTGTGCCAGCTGGGCAGAAGTGGCCAGGTGGGCATGGGCCACCAGTGCTCGTGTTTGTGGCTCCATTAGGGTTTGGGACACTTGCTCCTACACCGGGAAGAAAGACCAAAGGTTTCCTTAATGATATAGGTTTCTACTTTTCCACTTCTCTTCTGTCCTTGTGAATGCTCCATTCAATACCTGCTGTGCAGAAGAATCCTGGCCAGCAGGGACCACTTGGAGAGGATAATCCCCAGTCTCCACAGAACATTCCTGGAAGATCACAGAGGGAAAAGAGTGTCAGTAAAAACTGTAGAGCTGCTGTGCTGCATGCACTGATTGGAAGGCAAAGAGGCAGACTCTGGATGAGCTGATTCCTCAACATCAGCATTCCAATTCAAATTGTGCTCCTCTGGGAAACCCCGAGTTTAAAACCAAACTTTTATCCTACCTACAGAGGACAAAAACAAACAAACAAACAAAAAAAAAACAACTGTGGCTCACTGGGGGATACTATCAGTGGGACAAGGGATCTCCTTTGGTTGTGTATTATGCTTGCATTTCCTAGAGGTGGAATGCATCAGTAGATTGGGAGAAGAGATATGCAGGGAGATCACTCTCAGACACTGCTCCACATGGACGATCAGAGTAGCTTCTGAAACCCGCTCCAACCTCAGAGTCACAGTAACCTCCGCATCTCACCGGTAGGTGGCAGGAAGAACTGTAAGGAAATGAGGTTAACTGCTTACTAGCTTTCTGTGCACTGTCACTGCTGCAATCCTACTATTTGACCTGCTGCAGGGGTGTAAGAATCCCTTTCCCCCCACCATGTGACACCAGGAAAAAAACAAACAAAAACAAACAAACAAACAAAAAAGCATGAAAACAAAACCAAACAAATGAACAAACAAAAAAAATCTAAAGAAAACAAAAAAAAAAAACCCTTTCTCTGTCCCAAGCAAAGTACTGAGCAACTCATAGCATGTCAGCAGCTATTGAGACATTATTGGACATAGATAGGAGATACAATCCACATCTAGCTTTCCCAAGTCACACTGAAGCTGCAGAGATCCAGTTCCTGACCTGTTGCATTACTGTATTCTCCACTGGGGCAGGGAGAAGGTGCTGCTGAGCCTGCAGGGCAGAAATGTCCTCGAGGACAGATATCTCCAGTGACACCATCCTCTGGCTTTGCAGTCTTTGTCCTTCCCATGCAGTAATAGCCTTAAAGCAGAAAGCATTTGAGTCCTCGTTGTCATGCAATAAAAAAACATTTCTGAGCAGCTAAAGAACTTCTGGTTTTGTCTCACCTTGTGCACAAGGTCCTCCAGGAGCATCTTGGCCAGACAGATTGTCTTTGGGACAAGGCTGGGCTTCAGCCAGGCCGGTCTCATTGCAGAATGTACCCTCTGGCCAGTCCCTGCAAACAGCCTGACCATGGCCCTAAAAAAGGGACATAACAAAGAACTTGGTAGATGTGCAGTGTTGCTGCACAGTTAATTCACCTGTGCTAGGCTAAAGCCTCCTCAGGCCACTAATAAATGTGCACTATGCAAAATTTAGGGAAAACTGCCAGATTAGCAACAGTGGAGTGCGAGACTGATAGATCTGGTATCCTGTCCCAAACCTTTCTAGTTCTGCCAAGAGTTCTTCCCCTGCAGGGCAGAAGCAAAGACAGTGCCGGTGATTACTCTGCTTACTAGAAAACCCAAGTTCCTCTTTTTTTAAGCTGTCTACTTACAGACGCTCCACAAATGACTATTTACACACTCGTACAGTTGCCAATGGCTGTGATGACCCCACAAGCATCTTACAGTGAATTCTAACGTACTTACAGGCTGGAAGCTGCCAAGGGGACATGGCTCTGGCCTGACAGCTCCTGTTAAGGAATAATGCCCCTCCATGACCATCTGCTGAAGAGCACTTTTGGCACCTCCTGTACAGAAGTAGCCAGGTTCACATGGTCCTGAGGGAGCTTGGCTGTTTGTCCCATCACAATAAAGGCTATGTGTAGGGGAGAAAAAGATAAGAATCTTGGGTAGTTTGTTTTGTCACTGGATAGTGTGGTTGCAATACAAAAAATTCCCTGCAGTCTACCTGGGATCTCACTGAGACCTAGTTCCTGTTTGTTTACAGGCCTTAAAGGAGGTTAAAAAGTACACATATCACGTCACACATGCTTTTTAAAGACCATAACCCCTCAGATTCAGTAGTTTTGTCCTGGAAAGAATACCCTCCTCTATAAAAACAGAGTAGCATCTGCATATAGATCACACAAACACCCAAATGGTGGTTTTCTTTAAGCCTTTTCTGCTTCTTTGGACTAGAAATATAAAGGAATAAAAAGGAGCTTTTGAGGGCATTCCCTTCATCTTCTGGACAGAACATGAATTCCAGTGCTGTCTCTTGCTCTGTTTTTCTGCCTACCTCTCCAGGGAAATCAGGGAGTGAAAAAAAAAAAAATCAGGTTCTTTCCCACAGAGACATACAACTCCATCCCAAATAGCATCCTCTTTCACAGTGAACCACAGAAATCACAGACTTTGTGCCACCAATCCTGTGATGATCTTTCATGCTCCATTTGTCACTGCAGCATGAAGACATAACCACCTGAAAGGCAGACTGTCCATCACTAGCCTTAACAACCTGCACTTATTCAGTGCACACTCATGGAGAGGTGAAAGCCTACGCTAGATCCCTACCTTTTTCTTCAGACTCAGATGTGTAACTCTGGCATCATTAAAAGGGATGCAACACAATCTGGTAATATAAAAAGGACTACCCAATTAGTATTAACAAGAATGTTTAAGCAAGAGCTGCTAGGTCAAGCCATCCAGCACTACAGACATAATGAGTCTTGACAGATGCTAGGGAACAGTAAAAGCTGAGATACAGCTCACACAGTTCAAGTTCCCTGTTTCAAATCTACTGATACAGGCATATAGCAATGGAAAATGCAAGAACATTTGTACTGGAGCCCTGGGACCAGAGGGGACTCCTCTGCAAAAGGGCTGAAGGTAAGGATGGGCTGCTGTGGAAGGAAATTTGAGGGTTAAATAATCCCTTTGCAATGGGACAGAACTGAGCCGTGTTCAGCAAATATCACACTCACCCGGGTGGGCAGTCCAAGCACTGACGGAGGTTTCTCAACCCACTCCTGTTGCTGTAGGTTCCTGGAGGACAAGGGATAGGTAAGGGGGACACAGGTGGGCAGTATGCCCCAGGGGGACACATGTTCCCTGTCACGCCATCTGTGGGCAACTGAAATTGGAAAAGGCAGCATGTAAAAAAGGAGCAAACTTGGTTAAAACGTTAAAGGCATCATACTGGTTTGGGCTCAAGACATGACCAAGAAGAAAAACAGAGACATACTCTGCTGTACAGAGGACAGACAACGCCTCTTTAAGGCAAATATAGCAAAGTCAGAAAGAAATATGGATGGCCTTTTCAAACTAGCAATCCTATTGTGATTCACACCCACTGAACGTTGCACCTGGATATAAACCTGGCTACATTTCTAGTTAAGGGGATGTTCGTGTAGAGAGGGAAAACTATGAAATGATTGCACAGCCTTTGAGGATCCTCACACCAAAACCCTGAATGTGTGCAGTGCAAAATTGTGGCTCTTGAAAGTCACTGGGTTAATAAAAAACACCACGGTGGAAGACAATTAGAAAATGAGAAAAGCTTGCCGTGAGACTTACTGGAGTCAGAGCCCTGCCCTGGCAGAAGAACCCAGCCTGGCAGGGACCGCTTGGCCCAGTCTGTCCTGGAGCAGCACAGTAGAAACCACGGCCACACGGGCTGCACTCTGCTGGCCCAGACAGCCCCTTCTTGTTACTGTAGGTGCCCTCTGGGCAGGGCTCAGGTTTAGAGCTGCCTTCGCCACAGTGAAAGCCCTGCAGAACAAAGCCAGCTGAATATAGCATTTAAGAATCTTCTGATAAATAAACCTCCACATTCAGCTTCTTGCATTAGATGACTGCAGGAGAACAACTCACTGCTGGGCAAGCTTTGGGCTCTGACATGGCAGGAGGGTCACAGTAGGAGCCAGCTGGACATGGTTTGCATCTGTCTTCACCCTCTGCACTGGAATTATCCCAGAAGAAGCCTGGTGCACAGGGGAAGGAGAAAGGGAATCCAGTCCCTGGAGGGCAGTTACAGCCAGGTGGGCAATCCCCAGTCTAGAAAGTAAAAAAGGCAGTCAGCATGAAAATGGGGGAGAAAAGTAGGGGAGGAAAGGAATTCATAATCCCTTTACAATTACAGATCTGTAAAATTCTGACCGTGAAGGATAATCATTTTAGGTGAGAATTTCTTAAGGGAAAATCTTGTCATTAAGACAGCCCCTATCCTTCGCCTGTGCAGTCATGGCAAAGATGCTCTTCTTATGTACCTGGAAAGTAGCTGTAATTGGTAAGAGTTGTCACCTCACTCTTACATAAGACCATGGATTCATCCACATTGAAGAAACTTGACTGCTCTTTCTGCTCTTTTTCCTCTTAATAGCTTTTTTTTTTTTTTTTTTTTTTTAAACTGCTATTAATGCTTGAAGAATTCACTCTTTCAAGGGACAAGACAATGACAAGGAAAGATCCCCAAATTCATTAGAGACAAAGCAACACCAACTCCTGACATCTGAACTCTCTTTCATAACCTGCATTGGCAGGCAGAAGGCAAAGGAAAGACAGGTTTTAATTAGGCTCCATTTAGAGCTGCAGCCTCTGGAAAAGAAAGGTTGGGAGAAGCTGGGCTGTGCTTACAGGGTGGGGAATTCCCGGAGGCTCCATCCCAGCTCTGTAGCAGTGCTTCCCTGCAGGGCACAGCAAGCATTCCTCAGCACTGCTTAGTCCCTTCTGCTCACCATAGGTCCCACTGGGGCAAGGTTTAGCAGGCAAGCCCTTGAAATAAAACAGAAAAATGGGTCTTTAAGGTGCTAACATGACTGCTGCATACCATAATGCAACCACACAGCAGCTGAAACTGAAAAATATTTCTTTCCAGTTATTGGGAACAAACACTGAAAAGCAACACTCGGCAGCAGGTATGAATGCTGGAGAGAGGCTGTAACAAAATGGGGATCCAAACAGCAGTGTTGTTTTTATACAGCAGCTCAGAAAATGTAATCCTGGTATTATGAAGTTTTATGTTGGGCAAATACCAGCACCAAAAGAGTACAGAAATCAGTAAAATAAAAAATTAGGAAAGGTTCCCACAGCAAGATTCCAGTGCAGGCTGTAACTGTACAACCAACACAATGAGAGAAGAGAAAATCCCAAGGACTAAAGCAGAAGCACTTACAGCACCTCCCTGGGGACAGTAATATCCTCTTGGGCAGGCATTTTTACTGGCATCTGGGGCGACTGCCTGTCCTTCTGGGCAAATCATGGCACGCAGCATCACCTCCCGGCTGGTGTGCTCACTAGCACAGTAATGTCCAACAACACATGACAAGCAGGAGGCTGAACCTTGGTCCTACAACAGGAAAAACACATGGTTCCCATTTGTAGAGGGCAAAAGAATCCCTGCATGTTTGACATGTTGAGGCACATACAAAGGAAATAAATGCAACCAACACTGCAGTGGAGCCCACCAGTAAATAAAACAGTCTGCAAAAATAAAGCCACTGAGCAAAGACATCGCCCTTGGGAACTGACAACAGGACCCTGTTCATATAAACCATTCCCTGTTATGCTCAGCAACATTATTGGAAACAGAAAGGTTTCCCCTTAAAAATTCCACCTAACCTAACCTAACAACAAACAGTATGCAATTCAGTGTATTCACCCTGCAGGCAAGACAGCCTGTGCTTCACAAACAAGAAGCAGGTCCTGTCGCTTCCTGTGGATTATCCATGCAGAAGGACCCCCACAACAGTCAATCCAACATCTTTTGCCAGCAGGAGTAGAAAAAAACAAACACATTCCCTCATCTTTCTTTGTCAGGCTGAACTACAAAGTGCAAAAGAGAGATAATCAAGATAATCAAGGTCCATTTGTCACACATACATCCCCATTCATCATTTATCTCCCCTCTTATCTTAATGAATCATCCAGTGATAACTACAAAATTTGTGCACAGTGATAGAAAACCAGCTTGAATAGAACTACTGGGCTCATTTGACAGCAGTGACATGCCATTTTCCCCTCAATAGTGAAATCTGGCACATATTGCTAGAATTATTCACTACAGTTTTGGGGCAGATAAATACGAAATAAGTCTCAGAACCCTGTTGTGAGAGTCGATGGGCCATCCACTGCTCCTTTCTATGCCTCTGTCTCATTGTTTGACTTTCCACAGCCAAACAATTATTTAACTGCATTGCAATCCAATACATCCTTTCAGGCAGGAACTAAATACAGGTGCCTGCTCTGCTGTTCCCCTGCAGTACTTACACTAACAATGCAAGACTAAAATGAATAACCAAAATTCAAAGCAAGCATCTACCCAACTACCCACTGCTGGGTGCACAACAGATGAACTTACTGCTACTGCAAGCCTCAGGAGCGGGAGTAACAGCAAGAGCAGCACCTCACACGTGATGCACTTTTGGCATCATGTCTGGAGCAGCTCCAAGCCTGACCATGCAGGAACATTCCCAGTGCTTTCTCTAGGCTAGCACTTTCTCTCATTACTTGCAGACTCGGCACAGGTGGGCAGTACTGTTTAAAACACCACACACAATCATCCCAAATAAGCAGACTCATAATGCAAGGAGATGGGCTCGTTCCAGTGCCTCCCTTGGGGGTATATCCTGCAGCTCCTCTTTCTGCCAAAATTGAGTCCTTAGGCTGAACAGATGCCAAGATAAAACTACTGCTACTTACTGAAAAGTTGCCAGCACCACATGTTCGAGGAGTAACAGTGCCAAGCTCAGGGCAGTAGTACCCTCCAGGACAAGGGACACAATCTGCAGCCACTTTTGCACCATGTTCCATGCAATAGGTTCCTCTGCAGTAGAAAACGGAACAGAGGGAGTCATCAACTGCAGCAAAGTAACTAAGAAAAGGACAGTGCATCTCTGCTCTGTATTTCTTAGTCTCTTGTATGGAGGATATCTGCCACTTCTGGAAGCAAGAAACAGGCCAGTTCAGAAAAAACCTGCCCAGACTTTCCAGGAACATGCAAGGTGAAATGATTTTGCAAACATTTTTGGAGCAGAATGTGATCTCTTCTTACAAAAAGTGTTCTGAAATGCTACATGAAAGTCCTTTTGTGCACACAGAGACCCACAGCTATGACAGCATGTGTAGAGTACTTACACTGGGCAAAGAACTGGCTTGGAGGTTCCCCTGGTGCAGAAAGCCCCTGCAGGGCAGGCTGCACAGTCTTCCACTCTGCCATTTCCCAGCCTGGTACTGTAAGTTCCAGCAGGGCAGGGGTACTGTGTGCTTCTCCTTGTACCTTTCCAAAGAGAACCATCCCAATTCTAATTAAAGCCTTGAAGAGAGAAGGCAGTAACGCCCTTTGTTCTTCATTGCTATTAAGTATTTACATGAGCTACATGTTAAGTATGTATTTAAATATGTTTAAATCACTGCCCCCAACTCTGAACACAAACCAACCAACCAAAAAAAGTCACCACTTAGTAAATACTGCCGAAACTTGGCAGGAAGTTTCAAATTATAATTGTGTTTGTACTGGACACTTGACTGTGCATTTTAATTCTTTGCAAATTAAAGGAAAGAAAATAATGCTATTAACATGCTCATTTCAAGCAGTGAAGGTTAAAAGTATTCATCATTTGGAACAGACAGTTTGCTATCCAACTCCACACTGAAATGCTTTGGTGCAAAAAAATATGCTGATAAACTCAGCATATGACTCAGAGCCCACAGAATTCCTAAAGAGAGAAATGAACTTAATTTCTTTCATTTCTGGATAAAACTGCCTACCTTGAGGGCAGTAATGCCCTGAGCTGCACATGCCAGAAGGGACATGAACTCCTCCTACACAAAACCAGCCTGCAGGGCACAGCAAGCACTCATCTTCTGATGCCAGCCTCATCCTATTGCTCCAGGTGCCTGGGGCACACTTCTGCTGCGTTGAGTGCTTTGTGCCTGGTGGGCAGTAGTGACCAACTGGGCATGGAACAGGAGGCTTCTGTCTTCCCCCTGTTTCTGTAAAAACAAAACCAAATTTTTAACAGGAGCAATGAAGCTTTTGCACCTTTCATCCATTTAAAATGAGACAATAATTATCTCATCTGTTGATGAGAGGTTCTGTCGCAGAACTGGTTACTAAAGTAATTATTTCTGAACTTGAGAATCCTGCGAGGTGCCTGCGTCCAAAAATGGTCACCAACTTTGTGTCCAAGTTTAAGAAGCCACCAACAGGCAAAAAAGTTTGGAGCCTGTAAAAACTGGCTGCTTCCAGATCATGAAGATAAACAGTAACTATGGGAAGCATAAGGGAAAACCTCACAGTAAAATTAAAATCAACCTATCCAGTGAGCAGAACAGTCTGTGCAGTAACACTAAACCCTACACAGACACCATTTTCCCCATTTACCAGCACTGTGATACCTCAGCGACCTGCTCTGGTACTTACTGGGGAGCTTCACGGTACGAGGTACAGAGTAGAGTTCACTTTGTCATAAAGCCACCTACCTCTAACACAGAAAAATCCAGCAGGGCATGTTTCACACTGGGACTTATCAAAGAGGTTGAAGTCATTGCCAACTGTTCCTGGAGGACAGGCGTTGCTGGGAAAATGAGGGCTGGATGACCCCTCTGGGCACACGAACCTAATAAAACACAGCAGGCTACTTGGGGCAAACGCTTTGATGCAACAGGGAGACAAATTCTGTGCCCTCCCAATGTATCAGGAAGAAAGCTGCAACTGGGAAAAAAGCTGAAGCACTTGGTACTGCAGCTGTCAGAAATGTAACTGACAGCTGATAACACAGACTGAGAAGAAAACACTGTGAATGGATTGGTTTTGCTAAACATTTTGCACCAACAGAACGGGGGTTATTCAGCCAGGTTGTGTTGTTCATAACCATGGATCTGTGGCTGGGCTTCACTCGTGTCTGTTTCACTATTTCTCACCACTTTTTCTGTGGCAATAGAAGGCAGCAAAATCCGTTGTGTTTAAGACAATTCCTCTACCCATACAGCCTACATCACACTGAGTTGCCAGAAAATGTCATCAACTCTCAACACTGCAGGAAATGCCACTGCACGTCCCTGTGCACAACACCCCAACAGTGGAGGCAAACTGTATGTGTAGACTTAAAGAGAAGGACAGAAAACAAGCAAAGCTCACCCCGGTAGGCACTCCGAGTCAGGCTGCACTAATCCAGCCTGAGTGCAAGCTCTCCCTGCCGGGCAGGCTCTGCAGTCAGTGGCTTTGTCCTGTCCTTGGAGAGGATTGTATGTGCCTGGCTGGCATGGCGTTGGGTCATTTGCTCCAGCAGGACAGAAATAGCCAGCAGGGCACTTCAAACACAACCCAGTTCCTAAAGAGAAAGAAGACATTTAGGGTCCCAAAGGGAGCATGACCTGCTGATAAAACAGAGGGTCCTCCAAATGTGATCCTGTTACTTTCACCTACAGTAAGAAAGTATGATGGAGGTTCAGTCATAATAGCAAGGAAGTTACTGCAAAGCCAGAAGGTGGTGGTGTTGGATTAGCTGATTATTACTGCAATTGAGTGGCTCCTGGAAGCAGCAGAACCACATGGACTGCGTTCCGAGCTGATAATACGAGAAGATGCATTAAAAAATAAACACATCAGCCTGAAAACACACTGACGCAGGTAGATTTAACAACCAGAATGCCTGGACCTCAGTTATAGAAGAGCCTGGTGTTCCCACGGAAGCTGGGCCGTTTCCATATTTGCATTCTGAATACCAAGAGCTGAACAGGTTTTGCAGACTGGAGATGTACTGAACACAAACACAGGGATACCTGCTGGAATGACAACCATTTGTGCTGTGATCATCTTGAAAATCTCATGTGTTAACAGGTGCTCTAACTGTACATTAAAGGAAACACTTTCAAGATCAATAGGTAATAAAACAATTATTTGTGTTGTCACTTTCAGAAAGTGCATTTAATTATAAGATGTCCCCAAATGCTTAACTCAGTGAAAAGGAAACACAAATTTAGCACAGGAGTAGCTGCAGTCCTCCTGAGTCAGGACTTTCAACAGCACAAAGTGAATAGAGCAATAGGGAAAACACTGGCTCGGTGTTATCATGGCTCCCTGGAATAGGTCCAGGCTGAGCCCCAGCTGCCTCCCAAGTGCTTATCACAGCAAGGCTCAAGCCTACACCACGAGCCACTGCAAGGCTGGAGAAGAACCTTACAGCATGCCCAAGATGATCAGGACATATTAAAATCTCCCTCTCTGCAGACAGGTTAGGATGCTTCAAGTGGCAAAGCCAGATCAAGGGTCACCTCTCCCCTGGCATTCTGCCCACCTCCTCATTCCTACCCCTCAGAAACGTGAACTACATGACACAGATAAACACAAGGTTCAAAAACCTCAGTAGCACAAGACTGGGATTTCTCCAGGCTGCCTCATTCCCCAGCTCTAAGAGCTGGAATCCACACACCTGAAGGGGGCTGTAACCCCACGGAGCTGTAGGGTTCCCCTACAGGGAACTCTTAAAAATTGCCTCAGCTGACAAAAGCTTCGTGATGTGGATCTGCACCTGTAGCAAACCCAGCAGGACTGCTGTTTTACATAACCAGAACCCATGCCACTTGACCCTGCTTATGTAAAATTTAAGTTTTCTGCCCAACTTCCTGTAGTTAGTGCTTCCCGTACTGTGGAGCTCAGAACAGACTTGAAGAGCATGGCTACCTGGACCACAGAAAACCAAGCAGGGCACGGATTTACAGCACATTATCTATTTTGTAGGACCAGGCTAGCCCACATACCTGCCAGGCCATGAATGTGATGCAGATAAACTTGGTTTCACTGAGGGTTAAGTACATCACACTCACTGTGTGACACAGATGGAAGAGACAGGCTCAGACCATCATCTACCCCATGGCAGTACGACTTGAAATATTCTCTGCCTTGTCAGAGTTTATTCTTGTGTCCCCTGCCTATTTTTCAGCGAGCATTGTCCTAGCTCTGCCACGTTTTCCTTCGGAGAGTTGACAACATCATTATATAAGGTAGTACAGGCATAGGATAACAGCTTACATTATTAAACTGAAAGTGTTTTTGAACTCTCATTTCCTCTGCAGCTTCTTCAGTGTTTGTTCAGGTGCCACTGGCCCTGTCTGCCGAATTTTGCTGTCTTGATGAGATGTGAGGTTTCTTCCTTGCTGCACCATGTAAATGCAATTCTGGTTTTAATTTCAGAAGTGGGCGGAAAGCAGCAATTTCCTAGTCTTAGCTGGTGAGCAAAAAATCATTCAACAGTCAAGATGCTTTAGCAGCTGAGTCATTCGCTAAAAAAGAAATGATCAAATAGAAAAATATATGGCTCGATTTGAAGGAGATAATTATTTTCTTAGTGCATGTACCTCTCTGAGGCAAAGAGCACAGCAGATGTGAAGGGAGACTGAGCAACTGAACTTTGGGTTTCTGCTCCTAGCAGTGATCTGTGACCCTGGAGAAAACACTCTGGACTTGGGCCAAAGCTTAGTGAATGGAGTTCATCCCCTGAATCTCTTTCTGACTCTATTTTCCAATTTGTACAGCATCATTAAGAAGAGAGTGGCATATTTTATACCATTGTGAGAGACAGTGAGGTACCTGAAATGTTGACAGCCAGGCAGGTTTAGGCTGAGCAATGTGTGATTGTCGCAGCAGAAAGCCAGGTCTCCCCTTCCACATCTTATCAAAGACTTAGTAGCAAGGAAGACTTCAGCTAAGCTCTCTATTACTTCACACAAATGCCTTCACCAAACAAAGTACATTTCAGCCACCTCTGAACTTCAAAGAGTAAAAATCAGACAATTAAAAATTAATCAGTTTCCCACGCATTATGCTGTCCTTTTAAATTAATTAACCCACTGCTGAGCTGCGAAAGTCTAGCCATTTTTAACACATTTCTCAATCATCAGCATGACACTTAGTCCTACTGGATACAAAATGAAGTTCTGCTCATTTAGAAAACCAAACCAAAGCAAAAATGCTTAGAAAAAAACGCCACAGAAAACAGGGCTGGAAGTCTGTGCAAGCCTTGTGTTTATACCCTTGCAAGTGTCACCTGTGCCTTCATCTAACCAGCACTTTAGAAGTTCTTAAGGGCAGGGCTTCTACAGCTTCTGAAGCCATAAATGACAGTGCTTATTTACTGTTGTAATAAAAAAAAAGCTTAGACTAATCTGTAACCTAATTTCACCTCACTGCAAAAACGGGTTTGCAACTATTGTGATTGATTCATAAACATACAGAAAGAAAATCCCTTTCCCAAAGGGAAAGCACACAGTCAAGTTACATTATTATGTTACTGCGTGACTGACCTGTTGGATTATCTTGGACAGATCATTTCAATTATACTTTATTTCTTTCTATTGAAAGCACAATAATCACATTTTGCCTTTGGTGAAACCTCTTAGAAACCTCTGCATAGGGTAGACATGTAAATAGTAAGGTCCACATCCGTCAGGATACAGGCAATTCCAATGAAACAAGTGGCTAGTAAGCACCTCTGGATGTAGACCTACACTTGGTATTTGTACTGCTAATAATAGGACTCTTCAAGGTCATGTTTTAATATGGGATGGATTTCTATTTGAGACAAGTCCATCTGGTTGCTGGTTCTGCCAGCTGCGTCTTTTACAGAATGGAAAGCTGTGTGGTATCCTTCAGGCTCAGCAGCAAAAGGAAAACACAGTTGCACAAAGAATCTGCTCCTAAAAATTCCTGCTAACATAAAAGTCATTTGATGGCCTTACCTTAAACTTTCCAGTGGTGCCCCAAGAGGTGTTCCAGGCCTGGTACTCCAGCCCTATCAGCTTGAAATATTTTACTGAGATAGTGAAAAGCTTTCACCTATGCTTCATAAACTGAGGGTCAGCAATGGTTCCCTGGATTGAACGCTCACTTCTACTGCTGCATATATATTCATGGAAGTGTCCTTTCTTTCAGAGGTAGCCGCGCATGCAGTCCATTCCACTAAAAATAGGGTTTATTTCACTGAAGGTGTCATTCGCTAGGACAGTTGTCGTGACAGAGACTGCTGGCTGAATCACTGATCTCCTGTCCTACCAGATGTCACTAGTGAGTAAAATAAACTCGTTTTATAATGGAATAGACGGCAGGAATGACCTTAGCACACCAAGAGCATTCCTGCAGAAATACTCACAGTGCTCTGCATGCATCACCACCTGACACCAGGGAGACCCAGCCAGCTGAGTGACAGCTGTGGACCCTCTCCTTGCATTCACACAATTAGGAAAAGGAACTCCTAACTGTGCCCTGCTTTCTGGAGGGGCTGATTTTGACACAGCAGATGAAATCAAGCTAACCATCTAACACCAATTTGACACACAACACTGTGCACCCAGCAACTTGTGCACACTGTTGGGTGCAACCACCCAGCAGACAAGGTGCATAGGAAGCCCATTCTCCTCTTTACTGCACTATTTCAAAAGGCCTCTTAAGTCAAGCATTGTATTTTTGCAAGCCCCCTGCACCAGCACAAATTATTCTACAGTGGCCTAGAGCATCATGGCCCAATTACTACCTGAGTGCACAGCCAGCAGGAGGAATGTTGGTAATTACCAAGACACATTGTTCTACCTTTCCCTTCCTCACTCCAAGCTCTGCCTTTACCTCTCCTTAAATCTTCAGTGGTATGAGAAATTTCCCTCCAGGACCTCACTAAATAGGCAGTCTCTGCAACTCCTTTTATCTCTAAGTAGCTTAAATAAAGCTGGAAAGGAGGATGCTGTAAACCTTGCTGTCATTGTCCTGTATGTGAAAGGTTAATTTTACAGCCTGGATAGTTCTAGATGAACTGCCTTTAGTATTGATAAATGTGGTAGCCCCGGGGACTCGCTCACCTTGTTTAAAAAGTAGATGAGGGCAGTGGCTGCATAGTGCCAGTTGAGCTCTAAAGGCAACACAATTGACAATAAACTGCTTACAAATACAGGAGACACTTTATTTGCAGCCCCTCTCAACGGGTACCCAACCTGTAAACTGGTATTTAACTGATGCAAGCGCCTTGCATTGATAAACCAGTTGTTTCTTGAACAGTTTCTTTGGCTGAGAGCATTTTAGTGAAGTGGGCAGGCCATTCCTCTAAAGCTCTAACAGTGCAGGCAGTCTGAGGACCTCTAGCCCCAGGGAGTTGCACTTCAAGCATAACCACCTGAATTGGCACTAATATTGGGAAGGATTCTCAGCCTACCGTACCACGAACTTCAGACAAGGATACTGACTGCTTGTATCAGGGGGGTCTTGTCTCTTGTCCTTAGGGGAAAGGGGGCAGTTGCACACAAGCAGACTCTGTGGCCCAAGTCCTGGTAACATTTACACTGTTCTGATGCAGTGATCGAGCAGTTCAGCAAAAACAGCAACCCCCAAAACTTAACAGATGGAGTTTTAGTCAATGTCTCTGCTAATTCTCATCATTCATCCCTTCCAGAGAATTTATAACCTGAGTATATTTTATTTTGTAAAATGCTTGTAATTACTGAATGCTTCACTACAAATCTGGTGATTTGTAGGAGATTCCATGGGTGTTCCCCTCATCCAGCTCTAGTAACGCCTTAGACAGAGCCTAGTGAATAAGTACTCTAACTGGCAACCACCTCCATAAGCATGTACTTCCTAGTGTGATTTAGAGCAAGAATTACTATTCCCAGTGCACAAAATTAAGATTTTTTATGATACAGACCAGGAAAGCATGAGAAACTGCTGCTGGCTGTGTGAAGTCCCTCTCTGGGCTTGAAACTCCCTGCTGGGCATGGAGGAGTGACTGTAAGGCCGTCCACACAGAAGTGACCTGTAGGGAAGAATACAAGACATAGTTGAGAAACAACTTTCTAGACACCTCACTTAAAATCATTCTGCCAGTTGTACATTACTGATGAAATGCTTGTGTCCAGCTAGAATGAAGTACTTTTTCCAAGTAAGATTTTGTAAGACTTAATACGAAATGCTTTGGTAAAGTCCAGATGGATTATCTGAAGAGTGTTAAAAGAATATATGGATTTAACTGTGGCATAAAACTGCCACTGCTGTGTTGAAATATACTGCTATGTATCAGCATAGCGATGATATTTCATTCACATGCACGCAGTACTAAATACACAGATTATATATAATTAAAGTCAGTCAAACCGTGGAAAAGAACGCTGAGGATCCTCAAGCCTCTCCTACTTGTGATGGTATTGAAACTCCTTACCATCCAACATCTTTTCAATTGGGCTGGATGACTTATTCAGCTTTATGAGAACTGATGGAGAACATGCATCCTACCCATTAGAACACAAGAGGGACTAATTTTAACACTGAAACATTCAATTTCAGCCTGGAATGCTCTATATATTTAACCCATTGATCATCTACTGAGAGACTTTTGCTTGCTCTCTCCAGGTTCTGTGATTGATAGACTGGAGTTGAAATCTGACTGCAGCTTAGGGTGATCTCGTGCTCTAAACAATCATACAGTAGCAAATCTGTCACTGTAAAATCCATGCACTACCATACATCTGTTCACTTGTTTAAACTTTTAGTAAGCAGTGTTTATAAATGCTTCCTAAGTCCAAAGAAGCCAGTGTTTCCTGGGCTATTATTATTTTTAATGGAGCCAAAATTAGCTCATTGGCTCTCTCCAGAGCACTGTGAACAATTCAGTGCAATATGATATGTGATACACAACCACAAAGCCACCATCACTTCCCACAGATGATTTATGTATGAGAGACAGCTTACTATTCACACCTAATACCAGGCACAGGAAATATGGGAACTCATCTGTTTTTTCATCTGTGTATTATAGCTGGATCTAAACTCCTGAGGCTTTGGTCTAGCACGATCTCTGTAGCTACTCCATTTCTCCTTCTACTAGGAGGTAACGTACCCAAAGCACAGGAACCCTTCATTATTTAATAAAAAGGATTCTAATTACAGATGTAAGAATTAAGTTGCTGGGTTCAGTGACTCCGCAGGAGGCACCTGGAGCTGCTCATTAAATACTTCATCTTCACATGCAGTACGGGGCTCGTAGGAGAGAGGAGAGCTTGGTAGGACTGCAGATTGTGAACTGCATCCCTGTAGTGACATTAAATATTCCTTTGCAAAATCACAGCTACACCACGCTCTCCCTGTCAGGCCATTTTGCTTGGGTTCTGTAGGGCCAGGAAATGTGAATTGAAGTCTGCTGATACGTGGAGGGAATTATCAGCAACACTGCTGCTACCTGCAGCACCACACTTGTACTGTTACCGAGTGCTGTACAAATGAGCCGAACAGAACTTCTGTGGAAGGCCTCAGAGGAACACCAAAGAACCCACCTCTCACAGGAAAACCGCCCAACAGAAAGCTAACCTTGGGCTACCAAATTCTCAGAAGGCTTGTAAGCATTCTCTAGGACGTAGGAAGGACGTGCCAGGATTTTAATGTAGAAAACTCTTCCCTCCCCTGCTGTACCAAGCAGCCGTTCACTACAGGAATGGCTGAACCTGTGCTCTCAGTGAAGACTGGCAGGCCACCAGCCTGGGCAAGTGCAAGGTTTGTTTTTTTGTACCAGGCGTCTTCCCAAACAGCAAACACCCACAGCATGCAACCTAAGGAAGCTTCCCAACTTACTCCATTTCCCCTGAAGGATGTTTCTGGCTAATTGACCATGTGAAATGACATCTTATGCCTTTCATAATTTTGGAAGAGACTTGTTTTGCAACAAAAGCGTGGTCCCTCCTACCCTGTTCTCCTTGTTGCTTGATTCTGCATCAGCGGTGGATTTGTGACACACCCAACAGTGACACACTGCAATTTCCTAAACATGGGATTATTTGGATTTTATTGAGTGTCAAGCAGAACCAGAAATTACATACGAGAACCACGTTGTACCCATATCTGATCCCTAACACCTAAACAGTTTTCACCTGGGTAATAGAGCACCCACCACAAAGTTGCCATGGCCAACGAACTGAGGTCCTGAAGTGGAGAAAGCTTCTGTGTGCGTAGCAAGTTTACAGCTGACAAGCTAAAATCACAGAGAGTGAGCTGCTTTCTGTGTGGGAAGGGAAAGCAAAAGAAAAATCCCTTGGTTTGGGATTGTGTCTGAGAACTCCCGAGATGACCATTACCTCTTGCATTTGAAGTGAGCTGGCTGTGGTAGAGAAAGCAGCCTGAATGTTTTTCTCCTGAGGAAGGCAAAAGCATCCAGGGTTCAGCACCTCTAGAAATCAGCCACCAGCTCCCTGCAACTCGTTGCTCTTTGTACCCAGACGTCCTTTTTTTCAGGCTACTGTTCTGTGCTCAGCTAACATCACCTGCTGTGACTGGCATACCAGTAAATAACCAACCTGGACACACAATAAATATGCCAAGACAGTTTCCCTGGACCAAGTGCCAGACACCTTGTGCTCCTTTTAAGCTGAAACTCAGCTTAGACTTTGTTGCCACTACAAATACAGACAGTACTCCTACCCTGCTCCTCCTAAATACGCAACACAGGATACACAGAAGATGTCCTAAGCAATCTCAGAGGGAATTTGGTTTCATCAAGCTTACACTTTCTAGGAACACACCAGCTCCCTTTTTGTGGGACTATAGCACTGTTGTGTTGCAGAACAATCACTTCCATTGATTTCAAGGGGAACTGTGAACGTGCCAATCACGGCAGAAAGTCCCCAAAAGCCTTATTACCTGAAGGTAGTGGTTTTCCTAGTCAGCTGATTATTCATCTATGAGGAACTAGCAGCACACTTTGTGCCCCACCTCCTGGTCTGCATTACAAGACAGCTCTCAGAATTTTCTCAACATAAGAGGACATTGCAAACGCCCCAGTGTTTAACTTCTTATTGCAGGAGTAGAAACACTGAGCGAGAGGGAAGGAAGGAGACTTACTAGGAGCCCGTTGGGCATTCCAAGCAGTTGCCAGCTGTGTAGTAATGGCCCTGCCTGCAGTCGATCAAACACTGGGTCTGGCAGTCTACGTTGCACTCTGGTGAGAGGGAGGCTGTCCCTGTAAGAAAGCAGAAGAAAGAAATTTAAGGTGGCAAAGAACAAACACTGAAACCTCCAAGCTAAACTACCAGTAATTATTACACCATAATGTATCTGCACAATTCTATCACTGGTGTTATTAGCAGCAGCACTACTAATATGATTATTTTAGCGTTAACAATGTTGCTTTGCCTTTATAGAGAAGTGGAGTTAATGAATGGGACGCAGCATCCCAGCAGTGTAATGACTAAAAAACAAACTGGAAGTATTCTAAGCATCTCGTTAGAAGAAAACTAAATCAGGAAATCTCATGTTCCGCTGTTAAACAAGTGCCTCATTATTATTACTGTTACACCTACATGAATTACCTGACTTCCCAAAGCCACCCAGAGAGTACCAAAACTGGAAATATACCTAAACTGTTGGCTTTTCAGCAACATTATATTCCATTATGTCCATTAGCACACTCACTCTGAAGATTTGGTGGTTAAAATTAGGAAAAGGTTTCTTTTCCAGCATGAAAATCTGTTTCTGTAAGACTTGTGGGTAAATACTCTAACCACAAAATTCTGAGGGAAATCCCAACAGACTTTAGATCAGCACCCCAGTTTCAGATGCTTTATCAAACTAAATCAAACTGCTCTCTGTAGGCAGAGATGCCTTTATAATTTTCCAAAAAAAAAAGTCATGTTTTGTTTGCCAGAAAGCTGGAAACCTAAGTTTTCATCAGAGTGCACACAACACAGTCTGGCGGAAAGAGCCAAAGGATGACAGAGGTACTGCAGTGCTGGGTGATCTCACCCAAGTCACTTCATCTTTCTCTACCTTAGTTATCTAGTCCACTCAGCGAAGACAATTTTAACCATCCCATTAGAGGAAGTCGCTCAACATCATGTTCTGCCAGAGAAAGGTAATAAAAAAGCTCAATAAGGACTAAGGTATGCGAAACCTGAACTCCAGAGCATGGAATCAACAGAGTTACCAGCTCCCTTTTTGCATTTCTTAGCTTAATTTTGCAGGACTATTAGATTTAGATTCTGGTGCCACTGTCCTGATACAGTTGTCTGTTTTGAAAAGTCAACTTTGCTATAGTAACAGGAAGGACTTTACATGAAGTTCCGCACAAAGGGCTTCTCTGTGTGCCTGTACCTGAGCACCAAAAATGAGCGTGCAGGTGTGCAGAAAAGTTCTCATTTCAGATTTTATAAAATACCTAGTTTGTTCTGATTTTTTTTTCATTTTCAGACTAAGCCATCTGTTCCACACTCGAACATCTTAGTGTTATCGTTACCCCAAAACATGGCCACATGGGTTCTTTTCTGTCTTTTAAAAGATAAACACTTAAAGTAACCCCCTTTCTCTGCTTGTTTTCTCCCTGAATGAATTGGAAAAAAAAAAAAAAAAAAAAAAAAAAGCTTTTGAATGAACTGCAACCAGACTTATCAGTTTATAACCAGAATGAGCTGAACAACTGTCAGGTCTAATTCCTTGCGGCTCTCAGAAGGTAACAGTGTCAGCACCAATACAACAGCAGCAACGAGAAGTTTGCCTGAATAAGAAAGTTATCCACTCACCTGTCAGCAAGATCCTGAAGCTACAGAATAAAATCAACCAACTCAAAGCATTAGCCATGGGGGCCAGTAAACAGCTCTTAAGAAAATGCTCGGAGGCTCTGTTGAAAACGTTTTTTGAACATCTGGTGTCGCCTTTGCTGAAGCCCAATGTAACAAAATCCCTCCCACGTAATTACTTTCCAGTACAGCCTGAAGTGAAACGAACACCAAGCAGCAGAAAGAAAGGATGGCCAAAGAGCTAATCCGGTGTAAACTCCCCTCTAGCATTAGTGGTGCTAAAAAGTGAGAGAACTCCTTCAAACATGAGATAGAGCTTACTTTCCAAGTGTCCTGTGGGCAGGGAGCTTTCACATTTACTTGTCATTAACTTGCAGATCCGTCTGGCTGCTCAGAAAGATAACCGTATGAAAAGGACACCACAGGGTCAAAAATTTATTCTTCTTCAGCCTCTGTGTGAAATATTTTTGCAGTCTGTTTGTTCTGCAATTTCAGGTTCTTCCTGGAATTTGAAAACCCAGGTGAATTCTTCATAAAATTAGGAGACATTACAGGGGAGAATCTATCTTCTAGCTAAGTTTTCCTGTTATAAAAAATACCCTTTGCTGATGCACAAGGCTAAACTTCATGAAAGCTCTGGCAGTCCTGAGGAGCAAACAGAACTTTGGGTTCTTCTGCAAGCACAAAACAAGCAGAATATATCCTGAAGCACTTCCATGCACGTCCTACTTCAGAGCAGGCTTCTGTTTAAAAAAGAATTCTCCTACTTTTAGAAGTAGAATGAAAAATTCAGGATTCAGCACCTGCTCCAACGAAGACTGCAAAGAGATCCTTTTTTTTTTTTTCCCCTGGAAGTTGCAATATCCTCTCTTTGTTTAACTTTCTGTAGAACCTCCTGGAAGCCAGAGGCTACTTAGGGCTCTGGAAACCTATCGGTTACCAGCAACAGAAACAAAAACTTCTTCCAACTTTCACAGACACAATTCCACTGGGATGCATGAGCCAGTCCAAGAATGCTTGTTGGCTCACATGGAATTACTGGGGAGAACTTCTATCCAAATAAATAAATAAATAAATCTTCCATCCTCTGTACTGCTGGGGTTTGTATTAAGAAATCTGTATGGCCATTCGTGTGTCTTCTCACTTCTGCAAGCCTTTAAGAGGGCAGTTGAGGAGGACAACTGGAGAGTTCAGTGAAAGCAAAGCTCACTTTGGGAAGAGCAGTCCTTCCACATGCCCAAGGGATTTCACTCTGTGACTGTTTAATTTTCCTTTTCAGAACAGGATCCTTATACAGCTTGGACCAGAATATGAAGCCTTGAGTCCTCTAATGCCAGATTGTGTCAGAGCATCTCCGGCCAGGAGGGCGCAGAAGCCCTAACCACGGTGGCAGTGTCTACAAACAGGCCTGATGCCCGTCTTCCTAACTAGCAAAGCACCATCTGTTGCACTTTATAAAGTCTTTAATTAAACTCCTCCAGTAGAACTCAGATATATCTGTTTCTTCTTCTTCTGCACACAATTCCTGGAAATCTCTGCAATTATCTTATATTACAGACAAGAATTGCCAATTAAAACCTAATCAGCGCAGTGTAAAGGCAGGCACCAGGCCAATTGCTTCTAATTTTCTTCCCATTTTCGACCCACTTGCCCCTTGTACTTCCAAAAGTTCAGAAAACGCAGGAGATGCAATAGAAGGCAGAAGAGGCAAGAAAAATGGCTAGAGTCGCATTGCCTCATTTCCATTTTATTAATAAACTGGGAAATTATCAGATTTATGCACAGATAACGCTCAGGTCAAACCCGCCCCTGTGACATGTGCTAGACTAAGACACAGAAAGCATCTGCCACCTGTCTGGGGACTCGTTTGGGGAATGAAATAACAACTTGGTGCACAGAAATGGTCAGTCCTCCCTCTGACCAGCCGAGCTGGAGCTCTGGGCAGGTCGGTGGCTCACAGCAGGTCACCCACCCTGCTGGCACTGCATGAAGCATTATCTGGTCACAGAGGTTGCCTGGTTCAGAACTCTGAACGTCTCAGTGCAGATTCTGACATCCAGGGGGTCCACAGCAGTTTGGGATCTGCCCACTTCGTCCCTCTCTGCGTTAGCAAGAAGCTGAATCTGGCCTGATGCACCTCTCTGTGCTGCCACAGGAATGAGCTGCTGGGAGACCAGCACAATAACCTGGGACTCGCTCCAGGACGCTGCAATTTCCTTTCACAGAGCAGCAGCAGCATTCATCTGAAACATCGCAAAGCCCTGTGCAGTTTGCACCGGCCGGTAAGCTGTAGCTATCCATTCCTGACTATAAAGAAAACAGTTTTGCTATTATTTTTTCCTCTTCTGTCAAAAAAACAAATAGATGCAGATTGAATTATAAATCTGGGCTGATAGAAGTAATGTACAGATACATGAAGAAGACTCTAGCATGGAAAATAAATAGGTGTGTCCTCTTCTTGGCTGCAGGCATTGCAGACTGTATGGCTGGCAAGTATCAGCATATTGACTCCTTTGGAAAAAAAGAACAAAACAGTTTGTTTTCCATAATTGACATATTCATCCTCCCTCCATCAGTGACTTGCCTACTGCTTCAGCAGACCTGGCTGTATATTAAAAGGGTTCCCATCTTTCTTGATTTATTTGCTCAGTCCCAAAATTATGCTAGTGGTCCCTCACAAAATAAAGAGCTACTATTTTCCTTGATTTGAACACCAAAATTCATTCTGTTCAGCTCACTGCCGATAGCAATAAACCAATGGAAGTCTAAGAAGCGTCACTACCTACCCTGTAGCAGAAAAGTACCTTCTTGTGGTCCCTGCTCTTCACCTGTAGTGCCAGGGAATACATCTCACCTTGCAGAAAGCTGCAATCAGTCACACTGAAATTAGTTCACATTTCTGTGTAGGCAATTTTCCTCACCCATCAAACCTCATAAAAAGTCCATTTTCTAAATGAAAAGTATGCAAATACGCAAATTTGCAAATCTCATTTTACCCACAGCAAGTCTTTTGGGGAGAAAGGAGCAGGGAGGGAAAAGGAGGCACAATGGGCTGAAAACTGCGCAGAGAGGCAGGAAGTAGAAATCACACTGAGAATAGTTTCATTACTTATATTTGCACAGATTGAAGTTCTTCAACAGCTTTTAGAAATTTCTCATTAACACAGAAGGAAAAGATCTGTGAGTCTGAATCAAAACCATGCTTTGTTCCTGTACATAAACAAGTGCATTCCAACGTTATGCCCCCACTTATCTCATAAAATGGCAGGAATTATGCAAACGGCTAAGGGTGGAGTCTCCTCCCATCCACTTCCCTCTCTCTTTTTTTCCTTTTTTCCTTATTATTGTGCAGACAGTGCTGCTCGCATACCTAAGGATTAATGCATTAATATTCCACCTTCAGAGCTGCAAAGTCAGGGCCACATCTTTCTTGCATGAACGCATGCATATATTTACACAAAAAAACATCAAAAATAACTCTGCAAGCCCCTGCTACTGCCACCTGTAAGCCACGTGCATAATTCACATCTGCTTAGGGGCTGCTGCAGTGCCCCACCATGCACACAGCCCATATGTTCATTAACACCCCTTAACACGGGGCTGGATGTCACGAGACAGCAATACCTCCCAAGACAGAGCCTGCAGATACTCAGCGATGCTGCAGTGATACAGAGGTTATTTTCCTGTTATACAGTCCCAGAACAAGTCGAGTGCTGCAGAAAAAAAAGCTGTGAGGTTTAAACAAGGTACAGCAAAGTTCAGTGACACGTTAGATACAAGCAGGCACCATCACAGTCAGGGTGCCAACACACACCCAACGCTCAGCTATCCTTCACGGATAAATTAAAGTTTTTCTCCTTATGTGAGCAACAACAGCAGTAAAATAGCAGCGTAAAATCATCTCATAGCTTTATTTTGCATGCTGTTTTGCATGCTAAACTTTATCCCTACCGAACTAACAAAATTAAATGGTAAATTTATAAAGGCAATAAACTTTGGAGAGAGAGCGAAGTTAAATGGGTATAACATAGAGTAACACAAAGATCTTCATGCAAATGTAGATTAAGATGCAGAACAGCTTTCCCAAATCACCACCAATAGACCCAACATAGGTGGCCAACAGATTAGAGCAGCATAAAAGCAGCGGTACGGAAAGGTGAGGAGGCAGAAAATAAGGGAGGAAATCCCAGCTCTGGAGAAACCAACAGCAAAATACTCTTGGATTTCTACAGGGCTAAGATTTCACCCAACAGTGTGCACACAGAAAACACAGAGGTTAGAAACTGGGCCAGAACAGGCTGACCCTCTCCTTGGTTTATTCTCCCATGGGTTTTGATTTTCTCTGGTAAACAGCTAATTATAAAACACGGCCCAGGGTTGTCTCTGGACAGCATTGCAGGGCACGCAAGACTTCCAAAATTTCATAGAGCCTGCTTCACCACCACACATACTTCTATTGGCACCTTCCTAGATAGCTGCACGCTGAGTGGATTCAGGCAGCATTTGTTAAAATATTACATAATTACATTGCAGTTTATGAGAATTATACTCTGGTAAGACAATGCTCAAAGCCTTGTATTTCTTTGTACTGCCCTTAGTAACAGGGCCTAAGAAGTCCCCTTTTGCCTTTTAACCCCCATTGCCCATGGCTCCTCTGCTCCTGTTGTGCCCAGCAGCAAGGATGACTCCTGCTGCCTTCCTCTTCTTGAGCCTGGTTAACATCCTGCACAGATTTGGTGTCAAAAAGGAGCTCCAAAATCACACTGAACAGCTAACGCTGTCTTCTGAAGTTTCCACTGCTGCAATATTAAACATGGTCTGGAAGGTGTAGGGAGGGATAGGTTAACAAATGCATTTTGTTCGTTGCTCTGAAGTAAGTGAATAGACAGAAATGTAATCAGTGATGCTGACTTGGTGCTGCTGCCTGTTCCTTAAGCAGGAGGACTGGACTGTAAGCTCAGTGAATCAGAGCTGACTCTTCAGAAAATGAAATGAGAGGAAGCGGGCCAGTGCCTAGCTACCAAAGCAACCTGATGCTGAAATTACCTGCAGGAAAAAGCAGGACAAACATGCAGAGGGCTTGTTAAAGGGAACACGGGGAATATTTCTGAGCCTACAGAATAATAAACAGGGTTGGCTACACCTCCATTGTGTGCTAGTGAAATCTTAGCCTTGAATGGGACCAGCAAAGAATAAAATATTTTGGAAAAGCAACACAGGGAATTCTAGGATTTTGCCACAAAGCAGGCAAAAATAATTCCACATAGATTTCGTAGTCTAGAAGAGATCTTTGGCTACTCTCTGAGCACATTTCAAGGATCTCAATGCTTTGTCGTCTCTTGGCCCAGCTCAGAAAAATCACTCTAGGTTAGAATCAGAAAAGGGCTGAACTAAAACAGTGCTATCGGGTGTGAATTTTATGTCCATAGCTGAATTTCATCTCCAATTTTATCAGACTGGGATAATAAAACAGTTGGTGCTATTAAAGTGATGCCCACATGTACTGCAGTAGATCTTCATTTAATATTTTTAATAAAATACACCATGTTTGTGATTAATAAAAAGTACCACCAAACAGCTGCAGCCTTGTTAATTTTATCTCCCATAATTGAAATCAGAGCAGTGTTTTCTGACTCTGAAAACAGCAAAAGCCCCCCAGTGTTAGATCAGTCCGGCTGTAAAGCCAGTACCTGGAGAGGGTATGATAGGTAAACAGGGGCTAAGTACTGCTAGGGTGTAACAGTTCAGCAGTATTGAAGAAGGAATGTTCTCTCTTACAGGTTAGAGGCCATTTTATAGTAGCCCTGTTACAGAATGCTGCAGTTGGGTGGTTGGCAGTGCCATTATTTACATATTTTCTACGAAACAGGAGTAGAAAACTGTTTGTTATTTTTACAGCAGAAGATAGGGCAAACATGGTCATTTAATGCAAATCTCCACAGAATGGAAACCCAACTGCATGTTGACTGTGCCAGCTGCAGCTGTTTATTCCCCTCCTCTCTGCGTGGATGTGAACGAGGTGCTGTAATAGCATGGTCTACTCCAGTAAATACAGCTATGGAAAGGTGTTGGATTCAAAAGTACAAAGCAAACTGCAGAAGAACAAAGCAGAGGTTTAAAAAAAACACCCAAAACAACAGATCCCCACTCCTGTAACATGCATGAAGTGGTGTGCAGTCCAGGAAGGATCTTAACTTCAAAGGCTCGCAGCACCAGAGCTTTCCTTGGTAAGACACTGTCATGCATTTTATTAGAAAATGCTACTGAAACAGAAAAGCAGCATTAGCTGCTGACCTGGAAAAGTTTGCAACATGTTATTTGAAATTGCCCCCTCCACTTCCATTAGATATTCTTTTTGACTGAATTCTTAATTAGTACAATCATCATTCATTCTGCGCTATGTACTAAAAGACCACAGTATGATCACTGTTGACTTACACTCAAGAGAATGGGGCAAGTGGCTCTTAGGAAAAAGGGAGTCTTACTTCTTCCAGATGAGAATAAGCTTAAAGCCTATTGCATCCTCTAGAAATCTGGATCCTGTCACACAGGAGCTGAAGTAACTCCCTTTTTAAAGCCTGCTCAGACCTTGCAAAAAGGTTTTAGCTTGGGAAATTGGACTGTCAGAAGTCGCCAAGGCCAAAGCAGCTGCTCAAGTGTCAAAGCCTAGAAAAAAAGAAGACCGAAGTGAGTGCCAGCAGCAGCATACAGAGTGACTGAAAAGATATTTCAAGAAAAAACTAGCCTTTCAAAAACATCAGGCTAGTAATTTATCAAAGGCTGCAAGTGTTATATTAAGGGACCTCACATAACCCATCAGAGGCACTCAATGATTTCTCAGTCTCTTCATCCTGAAGTATTGAAAAATTAGATGCTTGCTATCTGAATCTGAGAATTCCATTAAAGTGACAAATGGCTTCTAACAGGACAGACGAAGCCACTGTGTCTGTCCAGCCAGGAAGAAAACTTCAGGCTAGTCATATCCCATCAGGAATTTAATTGAAAGGCAAAACCATTAAATATTAAATAGCGCAGCTAGCTGAATGCAGAGATACCGAACATGCTCCCACCCTCCAGGCAGCACAAGATTTGTCAGAGATGGTCATAGCACTACCATCACACACCTCCAGGGTGCCTGGGAAGGTTGGATTTTATGCATGCTAAAGAAACCACGCCAAGTGCCGCATGGCTTTGTAGGCACCTCTGCAGAGAGGAGAGCAGAGCCTGGCCTTCTAGCACACACGCATCGACAAGCTGGGATGCAGTCAGTTGAACCTGTTCCTTGCAACTCTGCTGCCTCATATCGCAGGTTGTTACAGCAAGAGCAGTCTGAAAGCAGTTAGCAAAGCAAGGATATGAGCTCTAACGAGTTATGCTACCCCATTAGTTTGGTTCTGCATTCATGCCTTTCCCCATCTCACCCGAGATGAGGGGAAGCAGACATTTAAATACCGCCTTTAGCTTCCTGAAGCTAGTAAACAACCACAGGATCCTGATTTCAGAGTCTTTTC